CACACACACACACACACACACACACACACACACACACACACACACGAGCACTTGAGAGCTTTCCTCAAGGTCCTAAGAATACACTGCCATCTTGTGGAATCATAATAATGATCAAAGGTGTACCTGAAATGAAGAGCCTTATTATGTGAACAGGTGAATTTAAAAATCTGACGTATTAGTTAAATTAAAAATTTGAGAAGCAAATGTTCCAAATCCATGTCTGTGGGGATGTTTATGTTTGTATGTGTTTGATATCAAATGGCAACTGTTGTATGAGTACGGGCAGTTGTTTCTAACAATCACTTTCCTACACTGAAATAACAGTCACGAAGTATTCTATTATAAAAATTTCGGCAAGATTCTTTGAATATTTGTAACAAAAATAATATGGGTCAATAGTTCTAATGTTGTACCCAAGAGTGACATCAGTGCTAGCAAAATGATAGAATTTATACTACCTCAAAGTTGTACTACAAAAGCTTCTGTGCCTAGTAATGTCTAGATAACATATAAAAAACTCTCCTTCATATGCCTTAAGGACACTGTTATGACAGTCAATCAAAGAGAAATCACAGACCCCTTCCCCAGTGGATTAAGTGGTCTTCATTTTCCACAGCATGAAATTTTCTAGAAATGTCTTGTGGACTTCAAAGTACTGAAAAGCAAGATCTTATTCAAAGGCAACTTATTTTAAGATACTACTGCAAATGCTACTCATTTTGTGTCAATTTGAAATATGTAAGTTGTACTATTAAAACAACAAAAGAGATTTTTATACGCATGCAAAAACACAAGCATCTTTACCCATTGTGTTCGCATTAATATATATCTAAAGTTATTGTTTACCATTAGTCTGTTAAATAATTTAGGGGGAAATGGCAGTTATATGAAAACTACAAAAATATTGGCATTATTCTTATTTATGTAACTACCTTCATCATTGTTCATTATTTTTGTATGGCTCCAAGTTATTGTCTAGTGTCATTTCTTTTCTCCCTGAAAGGTTCCCTTTAGATTTTCTTGCAGAGCAAGTCTATAAGTGATGAATAATCTCAGTTTATGTTTATCTGGGACTGCCTTAATTTCTCCTTTGTTTTAGAACAACAGTTTTACCAGATATAAATTGTTGGTTGATAATTTTTTAAACACTTTATGCCATCCTACTGTCTTCTGGCTTCCATGGTTTCTAATTAACAACTGACTGCTAATCTTATTAAGGATCTCTTACATGTAGCTAGCCACTTCTTTCTTGCAGCTTCCAAGATTCTCAATTTGCCTTTTTCTTTAAACAGTTTGATCACAATGTGTCTCACTGTGAATTTTTTTTTTTTTTTGCCTTTATTCTACTTAGTGCTTGTTGAATGTCTTGGGTGTGTAGATTCACATCTTCTATCAAATTTGGGGAGTTTGGGGTCATGATGTCACAAATACATTTCCTGAATCTTTCTGTCTCTCCTCCCATTCTGGGAATTCTGTTATACTTATGCCTGTGCTATTGTTAATGTCCCGCAGGTCATCTAAGCTCTTATATACATTTTTTTCATTCTTTTTTCCTTCTGCTTCTTAGACTAAAGAATTTTATTTGGTTTATCTTCACATTTGTAGATTCTTTCTCCTACCTGCTGTTATGTCCCTTTAGCAAAAACTTCTCTCTGTAGCCAATTCTCTATCCTGAGGGGATTCTGAGTTGTGTTGAAACACAGAGAAGCCCTTTGAATTAGTCCTTCAATGAGCCACCTGAGAGGTCAAAGTAGTCAAGCACTATTCATTGATAACAAAGTCCACTCTGCTTCTTCCAGCGTTAGGAACCCACACTTGGAGTACAGGATGTCATTTAAAGACTGTCTTAAAGCCAGTGATGAGAAGATGGAGCAAAGGTAAGTTAAAAATAACACAAAATTATTCTACCAGGTTGAAATTACTTTTTTATTAACTAAATATGTGTTTGGTAGCTGTAAATCTTTCTGTGGTATTTGGCTGGAGTAAACTGGTTATGACCTTACAGTTTTGTGTCTTGACAGTCCGCCATTTTCCTGGTCTTTTGGCTAAGGAAAGCAAAAGCCTGCTCTTTGGGCTTTTTTGTACATATCCACTAACATTTCCAGGTCAGTGGCTAGTCCTGGTTGTATGAGGCAAAGGGAAACTCATAAAACTCACTGCTCTAGCATTGCTCAAGTCCTAAATTTCTTAACCAGTTGGGCTTTTTGTCCCCACTTTTTAGAATCTTTTAATTTTTTTATGCACAGATAACGGTGGTTTGAATTACAACTTTTCAATGGTGTGAAAGCAGTACACAATCAGTAGAAACTGTACTTTGTATACCTAAACAACTATTCTGTTTATCCCTTTAGGTACAGTATTCAATAAATTACATGAGATATTCAACACTTCATTATAAAATAGGCTTTGTTAGGAATGATTTTGCCCAACCTTAGCCTAATGTAAGTGTTCTGAGCACATCTAATATTGGCTAGGCTAAGTTATGTTGTTCAGCATATTGGATGTATTTAATGTATTTTTTACTTACAGTATTTTCAACTTATAATGCATTTATGGGGACGCAATCCCATTGTAAGTCAAGGAACATCTGTACTATCCAGAATCATTAGCTGTATGTAACAAGATGAATGGGAAAAAGTACACCTTCTCTAACTTTCTAGAAGTGGAAAGCATGGTGCTTCTTTTTTCTCTTAACAGCAACCTTAGAACAACCTGGGAGGTGTACTCTCCTGGTAGCAACATGGTCATAATGGTATTAAAACTGAATTCTGGCTCAGCTACCTGGATTCTTTTGTTGGACAAGCATGGTCCTATATTACGAAATTAACTATCATTAATTTGAGTGTTCTGCTCCATGAATTCTTGAACAATGGTCCACAAGGGCCAAGGTGATGAATAAAGTATAAATGTCATGAAAATATATTTTTCCTCTATTTATTGTACTAGACAAAAGGTTTGAGTATGACTAGGAACTGATCACAAAAAAAGACAGAGCTTTAGCCACCAGAATGGGATCAACAAATTTTGTGAGTGTGGAAAAAAGCAACAACACTGGCACCTAGTAAGGGAAAACCCTGGACCATTGAAGGTGGAGGGGGTGAGGATTAATGCTCTCCTTGTATGCTAGATGAAGCACACAGCCTAGCAAGGCAACCGTACAGTTTGGTTGTTTATTGGTTTGTCATCTTCCACTATTCCATGAAAACAGAAAACTCCTGTGAATATGGCTTCTCCTGAACATTTCTGCAGCATTAATGGCAGCCTCCCAATACAGATTCCCCATCCTCTTAAGTATGAAAACACAGGAATCAGCACATTTTCTCAATCTGACTCAAACAAATGTGTATTTTTCCCCTGGTGTCTTGGGTTATACCATGAATGGCTACAGAGGTTGCAAATAATCCCTGAAACTGTTCATATAGCTTAACCAAAGTGAACTAATGTTGATCCAAATAAAGTTTAGCAATAAATTTCAAACTGGATTAATCTAGCACCTTTGGTTATGTTTATGTCTGAGAATAGGACCATAGGAGATCTCTATGTTGGGAATAGTAGTTACTTTTTGGCAATTAAAACAAAGATCAGCATGTTAGTCCAAATTTCCATGTGTGGGTCATATTAAATAATATACTATATCCTAGCTGTCTGTACTTTCCCACTTATTCACAGCTGGCAGAATCGAGGATGCTATGAGGCATGATTGAGGTTGCTATTGCAGATTTGGCCTCCTCCTCGTGCTTAGAGTTCTAATGACAGTAGCCATAATTAAATGTTGTGTGAGACTTCAGTGCCTTTAGTCTCTGCCTCTTTCAGTCAAATTAATCAGAATGACTGATGGAGTTGGATAGTCATAAGAAAAATTTCTAGCCGCTAACATGATATAGAACCATGGAGTGGATATTGTTGAATATCCACTAAGGGATAAGATTCTCTTGTAGGGGTGCAAGAGTCCACCATGAGTCTCTTGTACCCCTATATGACCTGCTGGGTATGCCAATACTGTAAGGCCATGACCACTCTACCTGGACCACTTTTCAGAGTTATGCTTGCAGCAAGCAGCCTTAAGGGATGAGGTAATGCCTCCCTGTATGACAAAGAGAAAACTGGCTTACCGTTTACTGTTGCTAAAAATTTCCCAAGCTCAGAGTTCCTCAGCTATGATACAGCACCACTGCATGCAAAGTATTCATCAGCACTCACTATATCATTGTCTGGGGACTTAAGGGAAAGAGAAACTAAAGTGAACATACTAATGTTTAGGCTGTTTGCTGTGCCGTAAGTAATAAAACGTTTGTCTCTGACTAAGGAGTCTCATGTCTGTACTGACAACCTCAATGAAACAACATGCTTATTAGCTTTCAGGAAGAGGGAAAAAATCCAAGCGCTGATTACCCCCTTCTCTACTATAGTAAAGGCTTGAGCTACATGTAAGAAAGATAAGTTTCTCCAAACTAGTCTGAAACAGACCTTTTTTGAAGACTGTCATGTATACAGACCCATAGGTAATTAACCATCACTTCCAATAAAATGCTTGAGCAATTTTCTAATATACTTTAATGAAATGACTCCTTCTGGGAAATTAGTGTTACCAACTGAAATGACTATTAATCTTGTGAGAAGTCTAATAGCCACTACACAGATAATCAAAAGCAGGGTAATTATGAACCAGTCCTTTGAACATAATGATCTGTAAACCAGATCTTTTAAAAATCTAATCTACAACATGTCTACT